CTCTCTCTCTCTCTCTCTCTCTCTCTCTCTCTCTCTCTCTCTCTCTCTCTCTCTCATGGTGGTTGACAAGGGCAAAACAGAAATGTGGCCAGAAAATATCACATTAATGTGTTAGAAAAATATGGTTTCATTTAAATGAATCAGATGGAAGACCAAATGCGCTAGGCCCCAGATCTGCACCCCCCCAATACAAGCACACATGGACTGTTAGAACTATCTCTGTTTTTTTCTCTCTCTCACCTTACTAATCTTCGGAACCACTGATCGGAGCATGGAGAGCCGATCGTTCAACCGCTTCCTCCTCCTCCTCTCTGCCATCAAATTCTTCGAAGCACATTTCTTCTCTCCACCCACCCCTCTCACTGGACCAGCAACAAGTTCTGGCACCTCACCTAATTTCTGCTCATTTACAACCCCGAAAGCATGAGTCATTGGATTTTCCGGGAAAGAAATAGTGGATGGAACTTGAATTCCAGTGTCAAAGACATAATCTTGCTGTATCAACCCCATGGCAAGATCATCATCGATCGGGAAAAATCCTCCATTTTCTTGGGGGATCGGTGGCGGAGAGACAATTGGGTTCTCAAAAAGAGAGAAAATCCCATCATTTTCTGGGGGGAATATATCCCAGACCTCCCTCCTTAGGGCCAGAAACTCTTCCTGAAAGGCATTGTCTTCTTGGATTGGATGATGAAGCTCCATTAATGGAGTGTGGTTTATTTCATAGAAGAAGAGATGAGCCTTTTAACTTGATAATAAGGGGTTTGTGGTGCATGATCAGTCGCTTTCGTCACATATTAATAAGAACGCTTTTGGCAAATATAAAACAGCATTATCATTGTTAGGGGAATTTAGTACTGTTATCATCATTGTTATTATTCTTATTGATTGAGGCAATAGAATGTGATTTAACATTGCTATTTATAATTAATTATATAGTTTGTTTTAGGAAATCTCCTAGGGTAGAGGAATTTGTCACTGTTAAAGAATAAGGAAAGCAACTTAATATGGTGGCTCATTACTATTCTATTTCTCTCTCTCTATATATATATATATATATATATATAATATATATATATATAATCTACGAGTGTATTATTGTATAGTATTTATCAAGTACTAGTAAGGTGTACTAACCTTGTCATCAGAATAAGTTGTTTAGTTATTAGAAAGCCCTCCAATTGATCATCTTCAATTTGATATATACGAACATAAAAGAAAAGCTGAATTTCAAGTATTAATAACAATACATCTTGTAACACATTATCTAGTGCATCCATTGTCAAGATATTTAATTGGACATAGATTTATTACGTCTACTCCATTTTTTGAGCTTTCAATTTCATAAATCTTATAGCTAGATTTTGAGGTGCACCATCGGTTAAGGTTGACACAGTATATAAACCATACCCTGTTATCAATGATTGTGTATAAACTCTCTGTATGTCTCTTTTGGTGATTGGTATACTCTGCTTTTGGTGAATATTCAATAATAGTGCAGCATAAACTAACTCTTTCTCTCTCACACATAAACTCTCCCTCTCTCTCTCTCTCTCTCTCTCTGTGCATATTTCTTTGGGTGTCTGGTATAATCGCTTGTCTCTCTCTCTTTCTTTCTTTGGGTGATTGGTATAATAGCTTTTTGTGAACGTGATACATGAAAGGAGATATTTGAGCCACAAAAGTAAGGGAGAGAGAATCAATGTCAGGTACCCTGCACCTCTGTCTCTCTCTAACCTCACTCTCCGACAACATATCGCATCTTAATCTTTAGGTTTATGTTAAAACCCTATGACCTCTCTCTCTCTTCACTCTCTCTCTCTCTCTAAAAAGTGAGAAACATGAATAGCAATCTGATGTTTGACCCACAGAGCTGAGAATCCAGCGTCATTTTCATCTATTGGGTTTCTCTCTCTTCGCTCGTCATTGTCATGCACTGTTCTTTCTCTCTCTTGGCTCGTCGTTGTCATGCACTGTTCCTTTCTCTCTCTAACTACTGTGCAGTCTCCCTCTCTCATCTTCCAGCCCACAAATATCGCGTCGTCTTGTAGAAAGCCTGTACTGCCCCTCCTCGAAATCTTTACGCCAAATGCATCTGGTAATCTTTCGTCAGATTTCGGAAAGTTTCGGGTTCAAACTCGTATGTTAACGGACATGCCTGAGTTGCGCTCCCCTGGCATTGGCCCAACTTTGGTCCTATTGGGCTCAGCCCGGCCAGCCAAAAAAGACACCGGCCCAGGCCTGGCCCTAGTCTATTAGGGCCGAGTCAAATAAAATAAAAGAACAAGAATCGAACCGTGGTTGTTCGGGCCTCTGGCCACATTTGGCGGCTCAGGCCTAAGTTTTTTAGAGTCGGCCGAGCAGAGCTGCCACCACCCTTGAGCGAAATTCGTCTCGGCCGATTTACACAGACCGAAATAACGGTCGCAGAAACCCCCGGCGAAGTTTCACCGAAACCGAAATCTCGAAACCTCACATGATTGGAATCTCAAAGTGACGAAAACGCCCCTGGTACGTAGGAGACAGACATCAACGGGAGAACCGCCACGCGTACGGTCGATCCTCCTCATTTTGCACGCCCCTTCGTCTTCTAGTGTAAATGAAATCCGCTTATCAAAACCGGAAGCGGTTTTTGGAGATCGCCCACGTATTCAGAGCAATAAACGTTGGTCGAGTGCTGAGCTTTGTCTCGTCTCTGTAAAGGCCCACGTGCCTGAACAGTGATTGAATTTCTAATGACATCGACAAGAATAGCAAAGAGCAAAGCAGGAGAATCTATGTCGTTTTGCTTTTGTGTTTTGTTTTTTTTTCTCTCCAAACTGCTTTCTCGCATCATTTTGGCTGTTTTGATAAAGAACTATCAAGAAGAATGGCACTAGGCCTTCTTCGCGTGAGGGGCAGGTAGGAAGAAGATAGTCCTAAGTGTCGTATGGCTGTTTGAGGTAGTCTAAGAAAGATGATTTGAGTACAGATTTGAAAACATCACCTAAAATACAAGAAAGAATATTTTTGGGCAAAAACTATGCGGAAGGTTGGTTGATCAACCTGTATTTTTTTATTTTTTTATTTTCCAACTGCATTTTAATTTTTGTTTTGGACTAGACCAACCTTCCTTGTAATTTTTGCTTATGATTGGATCATTTCATATTTTAAGTAACTATTTCAAGTCTGTACGTAATTTACTCCATAAGAAATGCTAAAGAATTTCATTTTCTCACATGAGTATACTATCTATTTCCTCTCACATATATGAGTACTTTTTGACCCCAAATCATGTATATATAATGTTTCAATAAGGGTGGACATAACAATTATATAGAGTCCCAAATCATGGATATGTACACGACCCCAAATCATGGATATATAATGTCTCAATTATTTGGACACTACTTATGAGTCAATTATTTAGTTTCATAAATCAAATATTTGATGGGTGCGGTTTCTATAAGGTTGCAACCTTAAGCAATCCAATTAAGACGCACCTCCAAATTTTATCATAACATGTAATTTTGTTGTAAATTTTTTTTAGGATTATCTTAAAAGCTATTTTCATATCTAATTAGAAAATTTTAAACTCCGAAAATGGTTAAAATCAAGTAGATTTATAAAGATACGAAAATCTTGAAAATTGACAGTCTAGATAATGTGTTGCGAGATGCACTATTTTTGGGACTCAAAAACTTTTTTTTTAATATTCATACATCTCGACGTCGAGATGATCAATTAGAGGGTTTTTCAATATTAAAGCAGCCTTTCCGATAGATTTTTGAGGTGCATATATGATTCTACATTTTAAGGTTGCAACCTTATATAAACTTTTCCATACTTGATTGGTATAAAAAAGTAAAAGATAGAATTTAGAACGTTAGGAAACTTTATGGGTTTGAGAAAGTATTTTTAAGGAAGGTTTGGTTTCCTTACTTCCTTTTGTATCAATGATTTTTTCGTAAAGTGGAAAGGAAAGATTTGATTTAGATAGTATATAAGATTAGAGAGATTAGAAAATGAATTTTTATGCATGAGTGGTGGGGGCCAAGTTTTGTGGTTGTATAAATGTGTCTCTAGCTATTCGTGCTTTTGTGGTGCATTGAAGCCTTAAGTTGAGCGCTCGGGTTGTGTTGTACGTGGTCCTTCCGCGGCCCAAACTCTACCAGTGGTATCGGAGTCGGTCTTTTCAAACCGACACGGAAAATGGGAGTTTGATGGCCGGGTTTAGAAGCTCGGGAATCACAATTATATTAATTGGTCATTTTGCTGGAAAAAGGGACTGTTTTTGGGTGAATAAGGGATAAAAATAAATCAAGTTAGGCAAATTACCTTTATGTTTTTGCGCATGTGGGAGCCTTTTCTCAAGACGATTTTGTCCCCCTTCGATATTGTAAATTATGTAAATAAGGGCAATTTCTCCCCAAAACTTTCATAAAAAAAAAAAAATAAGTCAATTTGCTCTCGAGATATAGGAAAATAAAAGGTCTCCTATTGTGCCTCGATATTCTATACACCAGTATCAAAAGCTTACTACAGAGCACCAAGAGTGTTGTCTTCTTAGAGAAAGAAAGAGAGAAAAACAAGTAGAGAGAGTGGGATGAGTGTCAAGGCTCTGATAAGAATGGCGTACACAGTACTGATACATAGAATGGGAAAAACAACCCATATGAGCAATGTATGGCTACGAATTTACTGTTCAAGTGAACAGTCTCATGTTGTTACACTTCAAAATGCGATTATTGGATTTGAAAAACAATCGCCATCAATGGTCGTCATCCATTGGATGTAAACAGTTACATGCATCTCAATGGTTGCGATCAATTTCAGGTGTCATGTATCTTCAAGGGCTAGAGGCTATTGGATTTCAGTGTGAAGTGGAAAGTGCACCATTAACCAACCTTGCACCCTTGCACATATTTGCGCACATACGTATATGCGTGTGTGTCATAGGCTTGATGTGCTCCACAAATGCATCAACACTCTCAACCTTGTTTTAAGTATAAGGTATGAGGATGTCTACACATAAATACCACTCATGTCACCTCTCCTCTTCAATATGGGACTAAAACCCACTCCTAATGAAGGTTGGACTATGGGAGCTCTGTAGGATAAAACCCTTACCTCTTGATTTGCCCTTGATTTCCGCATAGTGCATCGGTTCCGTCCTGAGACGGAACCATTCCATTTCCATATGGCGAGACCGAGCCTACCTTGGAAGATGTGACCCATATTTTGGGAGTTAGGAGTGTTGGGAAGCCTTCTCTTAGTCTGCCTCTCCTTGAGAATGGGTCCGACTAGGATGAAGTGGCAATTTTGTTGGGTCAGATTCCCCTAGAGAGGCAAAAAAGTAAGAGGCAACACAGTCCGAGTTCTTGTTATCTGAATGCTCTTGGGGGAATTACTCTCTCATGTGAGAAGGAAGATAAACACTCGAAGAGCACTCTTCATTTTTGCAAAGCCCCTGTCCTCGGAGCAGCCAGCCCGAGCAAAAGGGGTACCTGTGGGTGGTACGAAAGTTCATGCTGAGGGGGATGTTAGGGTAGAGGAGGCGGATATCCCAACTGATGGTCTGGCCGAGGGCCTTTCCTCTAACTCGGATGGGGATGAGGGTGGCAAACGTACTCTATTTTCCTTGTGTGGCTGGTTGGGCTTGGATTTACCTCGCTCAAGCTCCCTCAAGGACCCCGGCTCGATGAACCCCCTCTCGGACAACCACTTGACTGGCAAGCGCGTGTGTGCCACGTGCAGATAGGTATTTCCAAAGGTGATAGGATTTTAAAAACAATGATGAGGTAGACTCAAACACTTACCTCACTGCGGTTGAGTTCGTGAGATACGCCCAGGC